ACAATTTCATCAGCTGGATGAAAATTTGATCCAGTTCATATCCTAGCAATTTCAAAGGCTCCTTCTCCAACAGATTTGCAAACCTTATGTTCCTTCTTGGGTCTTACTTCCTGGTATGCAAAATGTATTCCCAATTATGCTTCTGTCATTGAACCATTACGAGAATTACTACGGAGAAGTTCAACCTTGGTGTAGACAACGGATGCACAAGCTTGTTTGGAAACTGTGAAAGACTTGATTGTACATAGTCCAGTAGTTGCACTATTCAGTCCCACATTGCCCACAATAGTGACTACTGATCCTTCCAGTTATGGACTTGGGGCTGTCCTCACACAACTTCATGAGGACAACACGGAGAGAACTGTTGCATTTGCTTCAAGGACACTGAGTGATGCTGAGAGAAAATATTCTACAATTGAAAAAGAATCACTTGCTTGTGTCTGGGCTACTGAAAAATGGAGAACTTACCTGTGGGGCCGCACGTTCAAGTTGCGCACAGACCACAGCCCTTTGACAACATTGCTAACCTTGAAAGGACTAGGAAGAGCAGTGTTGCTCGATGGTCTGCAAGACTACTCTCTTTCAATTATGAACTGGAATATAAGCCTGGAAACCAAAATGTGGTAGTTGATTGCCTTTCTCGCCTGCCTTTGTGTTCACCAGATGGTTCACTGGAGTATGAGGATGAAGTAGTTGTGCTTATTACAAACATTCTTACTGCAGTTACAAGAGAGCAATTCCAAGCTGCTTGTTTAGCATGTCCAATTCAACAAAAGCTACGGGAATTTCTGACAAAGAGATGGCCCAGTAACCCTAAAAACCTTGACCCAGTTTTGCTGCCTTATTTTAGAGTTTGGGATGAACTTTCTTTCCTTGATGGCCGTGTGCTACGAGGTACACACCGGCTACTTGTGTCACTTGCCAAATGCATGATAAAACAGCAGTGACATGTACCCCACCATTACAGCCTGTTCCTCTTCCTGATTTTTCTTGGGAAAAGTTGCGATTGACATTGTAGGACCCTTTGACACTGCTCCAATTGACTGTTGTTATGCCATCACTTTAATAGACTATTTCAGTAAATGGCCTGAAGTACTGTTTACATCACAAATCTCTTCTTCTGTGATAATTAAGTTCCTCTCTACAGTTTTTAGCACAGGGAAGGTAACCCCAAAGAACTGGTTTCGGATAATGGAAATCAATTTACTTCTCTGGAATTTAAAACTTTTCTAGCAGAGGGGAACATTTTATATAGAAGATCATCCGTATATTACCATCAAGCCAATGGGGAAATCAAAAGGTTTAACAGAAGCTTGAAAGAGAGTTTGCAAATGGCCAAATTGGAAGGGCAATCATGGATAACCTTCACTACTGGTTTCTTGCAAGCATACAGGGCTCCATGACATGCCACAACGCAAAGATCACCCGCAGAGTTACTGTATGGAAAATAGATAAATACTAAACTGAACATTGTTGGATTGTTAAAGTCAAGATCTGATGCACCAAAAGAGGATGATGTGAGAAAAACAGTTGAACAGAACCAAGAAAAGTATAAGGCTTTCACAGACAAATGGCGGGGTGCTACAGAACCGAAGTTTGAGTGTGGTTCCTTCGTTAGAGTAAGAAAATCTGGAATTCTACACAAAGGAGACCATAAATTCACATCTCTTGAAATCATTGAGAAGAGGGGACCTTGCACCTATCGACTTTCTGATGGGCATGTATGGATTGCTTCTTATCTTGCACCTGCCTATGCACTAAGAGGAGATAATACCAACACTCAGTCCATGTTGGATGACTTCACCGTAGTACCAACACAACAAGACATTGCACTAAAAACGGGGTTTGAGAGATGGTCTGTCAAACCCAGACCTCCTGTCTGGACTAGAGACTGTGTTATGTAGTATTTACAGTGTTTTCAGTGTAATATTTCTGCCAACGGTATAGTGGCTTGTTCCATATCTGTTGTTGTGGTTAGAACAACATTTATTTTATAATAGAGGAGGGAATGTGGTGTTTTAGATGTAATACTGCTTGTAATTATTAGAACTGAGACCATTGGCCGTTGGGAGTCTGGAAGCACAGGAAACAGGAAGGAGGGGAGAGAAGATTAGCGTGGGGGGGGGGAAGAGGAGGGAGAAGGGAGAAGCTGAGTGAGAGCTACAAAGTGATGCAGCAGTTTTGTAAAGAGGTTTCACTTTTGGTAAATAAAGTCCTGTTGAAGTTTGTTAGTACCTTGCTTGCATGATACAACAGTGTCTAAAAGTCTTTGCATGAGATAGTCTATCCAGCATTCACCCTGATCAAAGGAAATCTGCCTTCGATTACTCGAGTGGATCTATTCCCATACTTAAAGATATGCATGTGCTTACATGCTTTTGCTAGGGCCTTAACTCTTAAATGGCATTGCTAATATATATTTGTATTAAAGAAATACAGGATTCTTAAGCATTTTATTACAAAAGTGCCCTTCCAAAATGTAAACTGATTACTAATTATAGTTTCTCAGAGATTTTTCTGTGTATCATGTGTTATCTGTAGCTCCCCCAAATATCCCAGAGCTACCGAGTGTAAGCACCCGAGCTCCTATCTTGAGTTCTTCCTCTTAACTGCTAGCACATCCACAACTGTCACTCAACAGAACACTTCATTCTGACTTAAGTCCTGCTGCATTGAGAGGAACTGTCAGGAACACTCCTTTTCAACCTTTAGAAATGCAGCTTCTGATACTCCGTGTTCCTTTAAGGATTGACAGTTTGATGAGGTCAAAGGGGACAGCTCCGGTTGGTTGCAGTGGTGTTCTGTGAAAGGACTGGGCAGCAAAGGGGCTTGTGCAAGCTGTGTGTGTTCGCTTTTTCTTCGTTTCTGCCTCAGGTTTGGGAATATAACCGATGTAGTTTCCATGAACAGGGTTGGGTATAGTATTCATATACTAGACTCTTGAGCACTGAGCAGAAACGAATCCAGGAAGCTAATTAGTGCCTAAACGCAAATTAGGCAAACAAGTTCTAGGTTTTTTGGGGTGCTTAAGTTCCTTCAGGTTCTGTTGAAGTTGTTCCACTGTGGATGAATATGTTAAGAGTGGTTGGAGGAGAGGGACTTGACACAGGGTTTCCTGCCCCTCAGGTGGATGCCATAAACACTGGGTTACAGAGTCATTCTCCCCCTTTCTTCCCCCCAGTGACTAAGTATTTATCTACAATCAAACAGATTCAACAGGACAGACTGAGGGAGGCCCTGTGGAATATCCTTGTCTTGGAGCCTAGAGCCTTTGCCGGAGAACTGGGAGATCCATGTTCAGACCTTTTCTCTCCTGTGCCAGGCAAGAGGGGGAATTGAACCTCATTTTCCCACTTCACCACTGGGCTAAAAGTTACTTGTTCGTCACTATCGATGCAGCTGCAGTGACACAAATCGTGCTGGAATACTGATCCAGGTCTAATGCCTACAATTCAAAATGACTGTGAGAACTACAGAAAGATAAAAGGATCGGAAAATGTGCCTTATACTAATAAAGTCAAGGAACTCAATCTATTTTGTTTAACAAAGAGATGGTTAAGGGGGTAACTGGATTAAGCCTATATATTCGTACCTGGGGAACACATATTTAATAAAGGGCTCTTCATTCTAGTAGGGAAGGGTATAGCATAATGCAATGGCAGAAAGTTGAAGCTATGAATTCAGACTAGAAATAAGGAATACGTTATCATTGGAACAATTTACCAAGGGTCATAGTGGATTCTTCATCACTGATATCTTGTAAATCAAGATTGGATGTTTTGCTAAAAGATGTGCTCCAGGAATGATTTTGGGGAAATTCCTGTGTTATGCAGGAGGGCAGCTTAGATGACCACAGTAATCCCATCTGGCCTTGGAATCTATGAAAAAACAGTCACTATCTCTTGGCTCTGGCTATTTCCTGTGGAGTGAGGCAAGAACTTAACTCATTCCCACAATCCAGGAGATGAGTCCCCATTTGTGGATAGCTAGCAGAGCCTGCTATCCTGTAGCCTGGACTTAGGCACTTATCTCTGGGTACGTCTACACTAGCCCCCTAGATCGATCTAGTGAGGCTAATGAGAGCGACCAAAATTGCAAATAAAGTGCTGGATTTAAATATCCTACGCTTGATTTGCATGTTCCCTGCCGGTCACCATTTTAGAAATTGACTAGCCTGAAGTAACTACCCATGTCTACACACGGCAGTGAAACGGGATTCCGAAATAAAGCCCTAACTCGAATTAGCTGGTATTCCTCCTGCAATGAGGTTTACCAACTAATTTGAGTTAGGGCTTTATTTCAGAATTCCGTTTCACTGCCGCGTGTAGACGCGGGCAGTTACTTCGGGCTAGTCAATTTCTAAAATGGCGACCGGCAGTGAACATGCAAATCAAGCACGGGATATTTAAATCCCGCGCTTCATTTGCAATTTCGGTCGCCCTCATTAGCCTCCCTAGATCGATCTAGGGGGCTAGTGTAGACATACCCTCTGAGAAAGAGGTGGGACAAAGGATATCAGCCCTTCCCATTCATTGGGAGCTTAAGTTTGTGGATCACAGTGTTGTTCCTGTGTCGTTGATTTTCTAAGTACCTTAGATGGTACACTTTGTTTGCAATGCCTAATTCCCTCCATGTATTTCATGAAAGAGGTCAACAAAGAAAAGGCCAGATTACAAATTTACATTGGTGAGCATTTATCAAAGGCAGTGGTACAGTTTGTGTGAGTAACAGGTCAACAGTATAAGTAAAGAGCTCTCAATCTAAATGTGGGTTAAAGAGAGTGATTCTTCATTGACAACATTTAGCTGGGAGTTTCCAAATTTTCAGTGTTTTAAGTTTTATAGCTATTTGTTTTTGTTTTTAAGTAGAAGATAGTTTCAATTAAAATTGCTAAATCAACTAAGAATTTGTGACTGATAGCTTGTATTTGTATTGCAGCTGGTTATTATAATGGCTTACCCGCTGGCATATATCCATATGTTTTTGTTTTGTTTTTTTAGGTTATGCAACACAGATCTTTGAAGCTACCTTTATGTAGATGAAACTTTCAGAAGCAGCACTCCATTTTGGAACACTTTTTTTCAGAGCATATGGGATTTTCCAAGGCACCTTCCGTCTGGACTACATATATTGCTTACTCCTAAATACAGCAGAGGACAATGAGGCTTTTTTATTTTTTGTATATTTTCACACCATATAGTGAAGTTGCTTCCATTTCATTTTGTTCAATGGGAAAAACTTGAGCAAGACCTGTTGTTGCTTTTTATTTTACTAGATTTACCTTAATGAGCCAAATACCTTTTGAAACACTCCCACAATACATTTATTTTTTTCATTTTTGACTGAGCTGGTATATTAATTTTAGTCTACTTCAGCTGTTTGGTTTTAACCTGGCTTTTCAAATGACAAAATATCTACTAATGTAAGGAATTAAATTATTTTAGGTTTTCAGAAAATAAGTTATATGCATCAGACATTTTTTATGGCTATACCTGGCTCATTAATATAGCAGTTTAAAGGTATTAATATGAGGCATTGCATTAATTGTTGCATACAGTTATTATCAAATGACTTGCACAAACAGTGTCTCAGATGCCGGGGGCCTAATCATAATAATCAAAAGTGTTCTGTACGCAAACAAGAAAATAAAATTCCTTTGTGTGTGGATAAGCAGATGAACTTACTTGCTGTTTTGGAAGTAAGGACTGATCATAATGAAAGTTGGAATGGATTTTTTTGCTTGAGGAAAGGGAAGCTATGCAGCTTGATTTTTGGGTTGATAATAATGACTTTAGTCATGGCATCATACATACTGACTGGAGCCAGACATGGCCTACTGTTGATACCGTTGCCATTCCATTATGGAGATTTTACTAGCAATCCAAACTTAATGGACAATGAAAGCCTTAGTGATATGAAACACCATTACCAGCCTTCTGAAATTAATATTTCATATGTAAAGGATTATCCAAGCATGAAATTAATTATTGATGCTATTACTTCAAAGATTGAGTTTATAACCAGAAAAAGTCCAGTTTTAGAAGACCTGAAGAAACAAGAGCTGCATGTAAGTAGAACCAAAATTTCCCTTGAAACTGTTACTTGTTTATTTCAAGTATTCTGGGCTGGATCCTCAGATGAAGTAAAACAATATAGCTCACCAGTTGAAGACTAGTCCATATATATAGTGACAAAGTCAGGCCAGCCAGCTGCAAGAGGGTATTAGAAGGCAGACATGAAAGTTCTAGAATATTAAAGGCCCTCTTCCCAATTAGGATCCAATTAAGCACTACCTGAGACCTTCTTAAACTGCTCCCCTGTTGACGGACCCACCGAATGGGGAGGGTGGAGGGAAGGGAAAGGGGAAGAGAGGACAGTTGCCTGGGGACTGGTCATTCAAAAGGGCCTGGGTCTCCTGCCACTACCACAGTAACAGTGGTGGCTGGAATCCCAGGCCCTTTATATCACCACTGGTGCTCTCTGGGTGGCTGTGAAGGTTGGTTGCCCTCTGCCCCACTCCTTCGTCCTGAGGACCTGTGCCTTTGGGAGTGTGGAGCCCAGAGGCCCTCCCCCCTTTGTCCAGGGGCTCAGGCAAGCTGTCTGCCCTGCTGCCTGTTGAGATAAGATTGAAGGATGGGGGGAAGAGAGAGACACAGATAGACATGTTGTTACTAGGCTAGTGGCAGGAGAGGAGTAAGTATCTCCAGAAGGAGAGGCTCTGCTTCTTCCCTATAGGGGAAACAGACAGGTCTGAGTGCCAGTTAGGGCAAAAACAAAAGGAAAAACTAGGTAGCCCTTTAAAGACTAACAGGATGGTTTAATAGATGATGAGCTTTCGTGGGCCAGACCCACTTCCTCAGACCCACTTCTGGCCCACGAAAGCTCATCACCTATTAAACAATCTTGTTAGTCTTTAAAGGGCTACATAGTTTTTCCTCTTGTTTTAGCAAGATCAGACTAAAATGGCTACCTCTCTATTACAGTTAGCGCAAAGATTTACTGCCCAGTTTGGCAGATAGGGGTTGATTTACCTCAGGCCCATTTCGCGAAAGAAAGAAGTACTGAAACTGAGGAGACAAAGAAAGTGCCTTGCCACTATATACACAGACAGACAACTGTTGATCCGCTAGATCATTGTGCATGTGTAAGAGATCTAATTAAGTTCCTGAGGAATCCACTTATGGCTGACCATCGCAATTCAAGAGTGACACAGCTTGTTACATAATTTGTGGGTCCATGTGTTGTTAGAGTTGTAGCCTAAGAATACAGATTTGTTGCTTTCTTCTTTTTCGCTTTCCTTCCATCTTTTATATCAAAGCTGCTTCATGTTGAACTGCACTCACGATCTTGCTCCATATTTGTCAGCTGAAGAAGCGGGTTGTGCCCACAAAGCTCATTATACTATCTATATTTTTTGTTAGTCTCTGAGGTGCGATAGAACCACTCGCTTTTTTAAGCTGTTTTTTAAAGTTACAGACGAACCCAGCTACTCCTCTGACACTTTTGCACCCAGTCAGATATTCCATTCAGGTGGGATGGGATAGTTTTCTATATTATGCTGAATGACTTCATGTAAAGGTGACCCCATTTTCTAGTGCAGTCTCAAATTTTGCTATACAAAATACTTTTGGGGATTCAGTCACCTCTCATTCTCCTAACATGATCAAGCCATTGCAACCTCTTCTTGATAATTGTTTGTAAGAGTTAGCCCTGTGTGCTCCAGTACCTCTGTTTCATATTTTATTGTCTCACTTTATTTTCAGGCTCATGTGCAGGCATTTCACATGGAAATATTCAGGCTCCTGATGTGCCTAGCATATGTAGTCCATGTTTCTGAAACATAAAGCAGGGATAACAGCACACAGGTCTCAAAAATGCACATCTTCATTTTGGTTAATAATTTCCTGTTATTCCATGCATGTCTCTCTGTCTCCGTCTGTCTGTCTGTCTGTCTGTCTCTGTCTCTCTCTCTCTCTCTCTCTCTCTCTCTCTCTGTGTCTGTCTGTCTGTCATAATTTGTATTTGAGCCATAGGCAAAACAGAAGATCTTAACATCTGAGACAAGAAGTCTGACAATCTTTTGTGATAGTGCAATTACATTGAACTTATTTCTTATCATTTTATTCAAAATAATTCAGAGGAGTTAGTCAGATATGCCAAAACACTTACCTTATAAATAAAGAGCAGCTTCCCCTTAATAACTAATTGCTAATGTACCTTTCCAGAAATCTAGTAATTGGTATTCCAATCACTCATGCAAATTTTGTATTTCAGAATTAAAAACTGGAAGTTAATTTGATCTGATTATTTTTATCTTTGGTTAAATCAGTGTTCCTAATTATTATTCTTTGAAAGCTTATTTTAAGGATTCCTTAAATGAAGTAGTACTACAGATTCCAGCAGGCTTGGTAGACTTTACCTGTGCTCGCAGCATGAAGATAAGGCCTGGTCCTTGGAAGGCTGAACACACTCAGCTCCCATTGAAGTCAGTGGGTCGAATTGGAAAATCTTTTACTTTCAGTAAAGTCCCGAATGAGTTGTATTTATCCCTGAGTGAAGACTGAGAAAAACTTGCATTAGCATTTTAGGATTTGGCTGAAGAGGTGCTCAATTTGTGGTTGAAGTATAGCACTTAAGCAAGAGTCATACAGTTCTTCTGATTAGACCAGATAAAGCTAACAGCAGAATGTATTTTTTACTAATTTGTTTTTGTCCTCAGTCTTTTCCTTCATTAACCCCTCTCCCCCGCCTCCCAAAAACTTTGCAATTGGGTGATTTTAAGTTTTACACATATATATTTCTGGACTCATTTGTTTATTTAGGACCTAAGCCAATTGATACCAATGGGAGCCTTTCCATTGTCTTTTAGAGAAATTGGACTAAAAGTGGTAAAACTTAAAAAACAACTAATAGTCTAGCAGCACCTTAAAGACTAACCAAACATGTAGATGGTGGCAGCCACTGGGATGGTACCGAGGTGCATATTCCCCAGGGGAGGTGTAAAAGGCATTGTATGACTCTTGTTTTAAGTGCTGTACTTTGATCACATTCACTTATGTATTCATGAGGTAATATCCTTCTGCCGTAGAGATTACTATAGGTTTATGCAGGAAGTGAGACTAGATATTCAGAGCTGTTACCACTGTCCTTAAAATGGGTGAGTGTATGATTATTTTCCCTTCTCCATCTAACTCTGTACCTTCTCTCCACCTCATGCAGCTGTATAGGATCTGACTCCAGTTTGGTCAACCACAGAATTTTACTGTGCAATTACAAAAAGACAGAAGGAAAGATTATGATGATAGTGGTTATTATGTTTTCACAAATTATGCTAAATACGAAGGTGTCTTTAAAAACTTCGTTGCTGCCTTGACTGAAATTATTTGTTCTTTCTGTTGCAGATGTTTTCAGTAATCCCTAACAAATTCCTACCAAATAGCAAGAATCCTTGTTGGTATGAAGAATATCGAGGAAATACTACTACGGATCCTTATACAACAAATTCTTATGCACTGTATTCAAAACGTTTTCGGACTATATTTGATTACCTCAGGAAGGTATTTTGGAACCACTTGTATCATTATCAGGACAAGCATTATCGGCTACGCTGTCTTCCTCATTTCTACATAATAGGTCAGCCAAAATGTGGAACAACTGATCTTTATGACAGACTCAGGTTACATCCTGATGTTAGATTCTCAGCAATTAAAGAACCACACTGGTGGACAAGAAAGCGATTTGGTGAGTAAATATGTATTCTAACATTTCAGAAGAATAGCAACTACTGAAATGGAAGCATAACTCTTCAGAGAATAGTGCCTTTTTTCAAAGTGTTAGTATATCCCCCATTAACTTTTGATGAAGTGATAAAGGAGAATATATGTGGAGGAGTGGAAGAATACCAAAATACTGGAAAAGAGTAAATATAGGCTGTGTCCAAAAAAAGGTCAAAAGGATAATCCAGGTAATTATAGACCCAGTCAGCTTAATTCTGATACCCAGAAAGGTCATAGGACACCGCTTCCCAGAGCTCCCATTGGTCAGGAATGGGAGCTGCGAGTGGTCATACCTGCGGATACCAGGCAAATAAAAGCATTCAGCAGCCTGCCAGAAGCTAACCCTGGCTGGAATACCAATCTCTGAGGGTATGTCTACACTACAAAGTTAGTTCGAACTAACGGACGTTAGTTCGAACTAACTTTCATAGGCGCTACATTAGCGCTCCGCTAGTTCGAATTTAATTCGAACTAACGGAGCGCTTAGTTCGAACTAGGTAATCCTCATTCCACAAGGATTAAGCCTAGTTCGAACTAGCTAGTTCGAATTAAGGGGTGTGTAGCCCCTTAATTCGGACTAGTGGGAGGCTAGCCCTCCCCAGGTTTCCCTGGTGGCCACTCTGGCCAACACCAGGGAAACTCTTCTGCCCCCCTCCCGGCCCAGACCCTTTAAAGGGGCACGGGCTGGCTACGGTGCCCGTGCCAGGTGCAAGCCTGCCAGCACCCAGCCAGCAGACCCTGCACCTGGCACGGATCGAGCCACCCACCCGATGCCCCCCAGCCCTCCCCCTCTTCCCGGGACCAGGCTGGCAGCTCCCGGGAGCTTGCCCGGGACTGCAAGAGGCGGGCACCCGCCTGGGCTAGTGCAGACATCGTGGACCTCGTCCACGATCTCCGCACTAGGCACAGGAAAGTGGCCGGCTTGGGCAGGAGAGCTGCCAGCCTGGCCACCCAGGAGCAGGTGTGCAAGAGAATCAAGGGGGTCCAGTGAGACCCCCGACCCTGAGCCCTGAGCTTACAATGGCCTTCCTGGGTCAGACCAAAGGTCCATCTAGCCCAGTAGCCTGTCTGTCGACAGCAGCCAACCCTAGGGACCCTGGAGGGGATGGACCGAAGACAATGCCCAAGCCATTTGTCTCGTGCCATCCCTCTCCAGCCTTCCACAAATCTTGGGCAGGGACACCACTCCTACCCCCTGGCTAATAGCACTCCATGGACCCAACCTCCATGACTTGATCTCACTTCCCTTTAAACTCTGTTCTAGTTCTAGCCTTCACAGCCTCCTGCAGCAAGGAGTTCCACAGGCTGACTCTTTGCTTTGTGAAGAAGAACTTTCTGTTACTAGTTTGAAGCCTGCTACCCATTCCTTTCCTTTGGTGTCCTCTAGTCCCTCTTTATGGGAACTAATGAAGAACTTTTCTGTATGCACCGTCTCCACCCCACTCCTGCTTTTAGAGACCTCTATCCTGTCCCCCCTCTGTCTCCTCTTTTCTAAGCTGAAAAGTCCCAGTCTCTTTAGCCTCTCTTCATATGGGACCTGTTCCCAACCCGTGATCATTTTAGTTGCCCTCCCCTCTCCCAGCCTCTCTCTTCCCCTCTCCCACCTCCTTTTCCCAGTCTCCCCCAGTTTTGTTCAATAAAGACAGATTCCATTTTGGAAGACATGTTATCTTTATTTTGTACATCAAGAAGAGGGGCTAGGGAAGGGTAAGTGGAAGGAGGTGAGGGAGGAATGGGGCACGAGCCCCTGATGGGGAGGACTGGGCTGGCTCTGTGGGCTTCTGGGGGTGGAAGCTCTCCTGCAGCCCCCCAATTGTCCCCTCTCCCCAGATGGCAGCCTGCAGCAAGTGCAGCCGGTCTGATGGCCGAGTGCTGTGATGTGCCCAGTGTGGGCACTCAGGGCACTCCAAGCCCGGACTGCTTTGCAAGCGGGGCACCCCTGAGAACTGTCTGTCCGGAGTGGGGGTCGGGACCCTTTAAGCACAGCCCTCGGCTAGCCTGAGACAGCATCTCCACGCTCTAAGTCCTCCTCTGATGCCCTGCCGGCACTGCTTCCGGCCATCCTTAACCCCGCTTCAGGGTCCACTTAATGTGGACGTGCTAGTTCGAATTAGCAAAACGCTAATTCGAACTAGTTTTTAGTTCTAGATGCGTTAGTTTGAATTAGCTTAGTTCGAATTAACTAATTCAAACTAAGTTAGTTCGAATTAGCGCTGTAGTGTAGACATACCCTGAGAGTAGTTATCAGTGGTTCACAATCAAGCTGAAGGGGCATATTGAATAGGCTCCTACATGGCTCAGTCCTGGATTGGTTTCTATTAAGTATCTTCTTCAGTGATTTGGATAATTGCATAGCAAGTATACTTTTATAATGTTTATATTAAACTGGGAGGGGTTGTAAGTGCTTTAGAGGACAGGATTAGAATTCAAAATGATCTTGACAAAGTGGAGAAATAGTCTGAATGAAATTCAGTAAGGACAGATGCAAAGTATTCTGCCTAGGAAGGAATATCAACTGTACAATTACCAAATGGGAAATGACTGCCTAGGAAGAAGTACTGCAGAAAAGGGTCTGGGTATTATAGTGCATCACAAACTAAATATGAATCTGCAATGTAATACTGTTGCAAATAAAAAACATTCAGAGTATTGCATGCAAGACATGAGAAATTCTTCTCCCTCTACTCAGCACTGACAAGGCTTCAACTTGAATATTGTGTTCAGTTCTGAAAACCACACTTTTAGGAAAGTTGTAGCTAAAGCTGGAGAATATCTGGAGGAGAGCAACAGAAATTATTAAAAGTCTAGAAAACATGATGTATGGAGTAAAAACTGGGTTTGTTTAATCTATAGAAGAGAAACTGAGGGGAGCCTAAATCTTCAAGTTTGCAAAATTATGTAAGTTTTATAATTTATATAAAGAAGATGATAAATTGTTCTCTGTAGCCACTAGGGACAGGCTAAGAAGCAATGGACATAAATTGCAACAAAGGAGATTTAGGTTAGACACTAGGAAAAAACTTGCTAAATATAAGCACAGGAATAATTATTTAGGAAGGTTGTGGAGTCTCTGTCATTGGAGGTTTTTAAAAGTAGGTTAGACTAGAGGTTCTGAAACTCTAGTCCACAGATTACCGGGTGTCTGTGAGCTCCATTCAGATGGTAGATAGTTCCCTCTAAGGTGCACACTTGGGCAAGTGTACACTTGGTCAGCTGTACACAAGAGAATGAAGACTTGCTCACCTAATTTAGAGGAGTTATGTCTCCACTAATTAGGTGTCTGGATCCTGGAGAGGACACCCAAGTAAGGTGAATTGGTGGCCTTGAAGGGAATAAGGGATAGATTGGAGGTGGCGGTGTGGTGAGGTAGGGGAAATAGTGGCAGTGGGGTGAAAAGAGGGTGTGTGTTTGAGAACCACTGGGCTAGACAGACACCTGTCAGGGATGGTCTACGTACCAAAAGATCTATCCAGGCCCCTTCCAGTCCTATATTTCTATAATTCTGTGATTGTATTCCTTAGTTTTGTTTAAAAGCATATCCTTTTTCTGCTGATGTATTTATCTTGTTATGCTGGGGTTCTATATCACTTGCAGGGCTACAGTTACCTACTCTTTTTTGATTGTATTTGTTTTCTTTTAACTTCTTGGAAAAGCAGCCCTTAATGAACACATAAGAGTGTTTCATTTGTGGAGCTGCAGCTCAGTAGAATGTTGGCTCAGACTTAGGCCATGCCTACACTACAAAATTAAGTTGGCCTAACTTCTGTCAGCCATCAAAGTAATTACATTGCTTGTGCATGTCGGCAGTGCACATCCTTGCCAGGAGCACTTGACTCGATTGTACTGTCAACATGGCGTATTGTGGGACAGCTTCTGAAAGCCAGCAACAGTCAACATAAGCCTACACTCATAGCGTGTTGCCCTAATTACTTTAACCTTGACACTGCTGCTCATGGAAGTGGAGTTATTAAATCAGCATAGCAGAGCAGTTACATCAGCAAGAGCAAAATTTAAGCAATAGACACTTCCATAGTTATGTCGATGTAAGCTGCCTCTTGTTGACCTAACTCTGCCGTATAGACCAGAACTTAGAAAAGTCCAACTTTCCTGATTTAGTAGCATGGAAATCTTGTTTAATGTTCATGTATATCACGGATGGTTTATTTATATAAATATTCTTCAGTGAAGCTTGAATAAAACCTGAGTTGGGATTTCAGAATCCCAGTGCTCCTTGTTTCCCCATGACACTTCCATCCAAAAAAAACAGAAAATACCGGTATTTTCTTTTTTTTTTTTTTTTTTTTAACCGGACAGGGGCAAAAACCTGGCAACCCTATTATTTGGGTTCATCTCTCTGGCTAAACCTTTAAATATCGACCACATGCACACATGGAAGAGAAGAACTCTATGTACAGGCAGTCCCTGAGTTACGCGGATCCGACTTATGTCGGATCCGCAGTTACGAACGGGGCGTTCCTCTCCCTGGTCTCCAGCAGACCAGGGAGAGGAAGCAAAACTGCGGAACCCGTGGGCAGCGGACAGGGCTGTCCACTGCCCACGCGCTCCAAGGCTTGGCTCTGCTTCGCTCTGCTTCGCGCCGTCCCCTGGTCTGCAGACCAGGGGGACGGGGGGGGAGGCAAAGCAGAGCAAAGCAGAGCCAAGCCGCGGAGCGCGGGGGGCGCGGGGCACCCCGCCCGCTGCCCACGTGTTCCACCGCTTTGCTTCCTCTCCCTGGTCTGCTGGAGACCAGGGAGAGGAACGGCCCCATTCGTAACTGCGGATCCGACATAAGTCGGATCCGTGTAACTCGGGGACTGCCTGTACTTTAATAGTAG